TAGAGGAGGGGGGAGAGTGGTGGCCAGGCTAACTAGAGGAGGGGGGAGAGTGGTGGCCAGGCTAACTAGAGGAGGGGGGAGAGTGGTGGCCAGGCTAACTAGAGGAGGGGGGAGAGTGATGGCCAGGCTAACTAGAGGAGGGGGGAGAGTGGTGGCCAGGCTAACTAGAGGAGGGGGGAGAGTGGTGGCCAGGCTAACTAGAGGAGGGGGGAGAGTGGTGGCCAGGCTAACTAGAGGAGGGGGGAGAGTGGTGGCCAGGCTAACTAGAGGAGGGGGGAGAGTGGTGGCCAGGCTAACTAGAGGAGGGGGGAGAGTGGTGGCCAGGCTAACTAGCGGAGGGGGGAGAGTGGTGGCCAGGCTAACTAGAGGAGGGGGGAGAGTGGTGGCCAGGCTAACTGGAGGAGGGGGGAGAGTGGTGGCCAGGCTAACTAGAGGAGGGGGAGAGTGGTGGCCAGGCTAACGGTGTGTGAGGAAAAAGAGAATGTGTCAATGAACGTTTATATAACTGGTCAAAACCACTGATCCCATTGCTATGTGAAGACTCAATAGCACATTGAGGCCAAATTAAGCCCCATGGAGACATACACTACATGACCAAAAGTATGTGGACACCTGCTCATCAAACATCTAATTCCAAAATCATGGTCCCCCCTTTGCTGTTATAACAACCTCCACTCTTCTGGGAAGGCTTTCCACTAGATGTTGGAACATTGCTACGGGGACTTGTTTCCATTCAGCCACAAGCATTAGTGAGGTCGGGCACTGATGTTGGGCGATTAGGCCTGGCTCGCAGTCGGCATTCCAATTCATCCCAAAGGTGTTCGATAGGGTTGAGGTCAGGGCTCTGTACAGGCCAGTCAAGTTCTTCCACACCGATCTTGACAAACCATTTCTGTATTGATCTCACTTTTTGCACGGGTTATTGTCATTATGCTGTAGCATTAAGATTTCCCTTCACTGGAACTATGGGGCCTAGCCAGAACCATGAAAAACAACCCCAGACCATTATTCCTCCTCCACCAAACTTTACAGTTGGTACTATGCATTCGGGCAGGTAGCGTTCTCCTGGCATCCGCCAAACCCAGATTTGTCTGTTGGACTGCCAGATGGTGAAGCGTGATTCATTACTCCAGAGAACATGTTTTCACTGCTCCAGAGTCCAATGGCGGCGAGCTTTACACCACTCCAGCCGAACAGTTGTTGTGCTGACGTTGCTTCCAGAGGCAGTTTGGAACTCGGTAGTGAGTGTTTTAGAGACAATTTTTACGCGCTACGCGCTGCAGCACTTGGTGGTCCCGTTTTGTGAGCTTGTGTGGCCTACCACTTCGTGGCTGAGCCGTTGTTGCTCCTAGACGTTTCCACTTCACAATAACAGCACTTACAGTTGACCGGGGCAGCTCTAGCAGGGCAGAAATTTGATGAACTGACTTGTTGGAAAGGTGGCTTCCTATGACGGTGCCATGTTGAAAGTCACTGAGCTCTTCAGTGAGGCCATTCTACTGCCAATGTTTGTCTATGGAGATTATGGCGTGTGCTCGATTTTATACACCTGTCAGCAACAGGTGTGGCTGAAATAGCCGAATCCACTCATTTGAAGGGGTGTCCACATACTTTTATATAAATAGTGTAACATGCGCAGTTTGAGCTACTCCAGGAAGTGACGCTGCAGGCTAGCTCAGTGCTGCCCCCTCTTATTGAGTAACTCAAGTTGAAGGCCAACCGGGGTACTGCAGGCTGCCTTTGGCAACTCAATTATTTTTTTTTTTTTTTTTTTTATTTAACCTTTATTTAACCAGGTAAGCCAGTTGAGAACAAGTTCTCATTTACAACTGCAACCTGGCCAAGATAAAGCAAAGCAGTGCGATAAAAACAACAACAACACAGAGTTACATATGGAATAAACAAAAACAAAACGTACAGTCAATAACACAATAGAACATCTATATACAGTGTGTGCAAATGTAGTAAGTTATGGAGGTAAGGCAATAAATAGGCCATAGTGCAAAATAATTACAATTTAGTATTAACAATGGAGTGATAGATGTGCAGAAGATGATGTGCAAATAGAGATACTGGGGTGCAAATGAGCAAAATAAATAACAATGTAAATAACAATATGGGGATGAGGTAGTTGGGTGGGCTATTTACAGATGGGCTGTGTACAGGTGCAGTGATCGGTAAGCTGCTCTGACAACTGATGCTTAAAGTTAGTGAGGGAGATAAGTGTCTCCAGCTTCAGAGATTTTTGCAGTTTGTTCCAGTCATTTGCAGCAGAGAACTGGAAGGAATGGCGGCCAAAGGAGGTGTTGGCTTTGGGGATGACCAGTGAGATATACCTGCTGGAACGCATACTACGGGTGGGTGTTGCTATGGTGACCAATGATCTAAGATAAGGCGGGGATTTGCCTAGAAGTGATTTATAGATGACCTGGAGCCAGTGGGTTTGGCGACGAATATGTAGTGAGGGCCAGCCAACAAGAGCGTACAGGTCACAATGGTGGGTAGTATATGGGGCTTTGGTGACAAAACGGATGGCACTGTGATAGACTATACGTCTTGTGTATTAAAAAGCAATTATTGGTACGATCTTCGAAAAAAATATATATTTACACGAACATTGACCACGAACATTGACCACGAACATTGCCATGTTTTCATTCACTATAATGGGGGATCCCCTTTTCTGCTAACAATGCCTGCAGTACCGCAGTCGCCCTTGAACTTCCGTGGCTTCAATGAGAGGGGGCAGTCGTTCTCCCTTCGTGTGTGTGTGTGTGTGTGTGTGTGTGTGTTGTGTGTGTATCTTCCCTAAAAGCAAAGCTTGGGCCCAGCTACAGGCCCTGGAATGCCATGTGCGCAGAGAGAGTGGAGGCTCCTCAGAGGAGGAAGGGGAGGACCATCCTCCTCAGTGAATTACATTTAAAAAGTTATCCTTTTTAGATCAAACTATACTAAATATAATGTCACCAAATAATTGAATAAAACACACTGTTTTGTAATGAAGGTCTACAGTACTCTCAACAGCACTCTGTAGGGTAGCACCATGGTGTAGCTGGAGGACGGCTAGCTTCCGTCCTCCTCTGGGTACATTGACTTCAATACAAAACCTAGGATGCTCATGGTTCTCACCCCTTTCCAAAGACTTACTCAGTAATTATGACAAATTCCGGAGGATGTCCTCCAACCTATCAGAGCTCTTGCAGCATGAACTGACATGTTGTCCACCTAATCAAAGGATCAGAGAATGAATCTAGTACTGAAAGCATAAGCTACAGCTAGCTAGCACTGCTGTGAGAAGTGATTTGAATGAGTCAGGCGCAGGAGGTTAAATCACAGAATACAGAGTTTATTCCGTAGTACAGAGTTACGCAGGATAGCGTCAAACAGTCCAGTGTGCAAAACAACGCACTGGAACAAAACAGGCACACAGGGAAACTATACCCCGGCAATACAAAGTACACATAGCTCGACCGAGCTACTCTCTCCTCACATTAAACAATCACCCACAAGGACAAAGGGGGCAGAGGGAACACTTATACATGTACTAATGAGGGGATATGAACCAGGTGTGTGTAATAGACAAGACAAGACAAATGAAATGATGATATATGGAGCGGCAGTGGTTAGTAAGCCGATGACGACGAACGCCGAAGCCTGCCCGAACAAGGAGGGGAGGCAGCCTCGGAGGAAGTCGTGACAACTGCAGTGCATAATATGTGTTGAGTAGTTGACTCAAAGAAAGAGAAAGACAATAGTTTAACAGTTTTGAACAAATACATTTCTTCCTAAATGAAGGAGAAGCAAGAGATAGAGATATCTTCATTTCTTTTTCACTTTCAGTTTCACTTACTGCAGCTAGCTAGTTTAGCCTACTGAAACACCCTGCTCAAACAGAGGGATGCTATGTTAGCTAGCTGGCTATGACTATCCAGCACAACACTGGAACTCTTCCAAGTCAAGGTAAGCTTTTGGTTTTACTAATTTATTGCCACCGGGGCCCGCCGGTGTAACTGCTAAACTGCTTACTGGCTGTACACTGTAACGTTACTGCATGATTGTAGCGGTTTTACTAACACGTTAGTTCTATTAGCTATGTTTGGCTAATATGGTGACAACGATGTAGGCTGTGTGTAGCGGTTTGGCTTGGAAAGGTTTTTTCGCCTGGTCACATACAGCTGATGTGTTGTGCATTGAAGTCCACAAGCGAAGGGACAAGGTGAGAGGAGGCGAGCGCATAGATGTGAGAAGGAATACAACGTGACTGCTATGAAAGTGAACTGTGTTTACGTGTGATCAGGGGTGTATTCATTCGTCGATTCTGTTGAAAAGCGTTTCTTAAACGGAAGCAAATGGAACATAACGGGGATAAACATACCTGAATTTGTCCAATAGAAACTCTTGTTTGCAACTGTTGGACCAATGATTACACTGTATATCAGCTAAATGCAGGCTAGAGTGTGCAAGGCGGTATTGAATGTGTCACTGTCTGCACCTACGTTGTAAACTTTCATTCATAGGCTAGGTTGTAGCAACCCCATGATGGGTATAAGGAAAATGTTAGTATCATGTAGTAGCCTAAACCTATCGATGTTACATTGAACTGGGTGAATGGAATATGAATGACAGTCATCCAACATGCTGTAATAGAAATAAGGCCATGCTCATGAAGAAAATGAATTGTCCTCCCTCATCTTAAACGGCACTGACACACATAGCGCACTGCTTTTGACCAGGGGTCAATAGGGAATAGGGTGCCACATTTTTCTTCCTCTAATCTCTATAAATAACCATTGGAGGATGATAATCCCCCTCTCTCTCTCAAGCATCTACGCTTCCCTCTGTCTTCCCACCAAGCAGAATTGGACCTACTTGAAACCTATGGCAAGAGTGGTGTGTGTGTGTGAGTGTGTGTGTGTGTGTGTGTGTGTGTGTGTGTGTGTGTGTGTGTGTGTGTGTGTGTGTGTGTGTGTGTGTGTGTGTGTGTGTGAGAGAGAGAGAAGCAGGGGAGAGGGTTTTTCAGGTCAGGCAGGCAGAAGGGTGTTTTTAATTAGTTACTGGACAGAGAGTTGGTGGGGTGTGAAGACATGAGGACTGGACAGGGGGAAGGAATGTTGACAGAACTGCTATATCAGCCCCACACTTCCATTCACTTCCACCCAAAGGAGGCAGGTTGTGGGAGAGGAGGGGAGGGGAGGAGAGGTCGGGTGAGAAGGCGTCAGGGTGATGATGAGCTCTGATCACTGCTCTCTCTGACACACTGACACGCCATGACATGAATCACAGGATTTAGCCTAGTGGACTAGTTCACAGCAAGTCAGAGAGAGCACTGTGTGTGTGTGTGTGTGTGTGTGTGTGTGTGTGTGTGTGTGTGTGTGTGTGTGTGTCAGAGTCAGAGAGAGAGAGAGAGAGACAGGTTGTGTCCCAATAACATCTATTTTCTCCTGAAGTGTACACTCGTTCACTACTTCCTACAAATCTAAAAGCGTTGGATTGGTGGAAGCCTGGTCTAGTGGGCGTTTTCATCATATTTCTTTATACCACTCATGTCCTTTTAAATCAGTGAAGGGGAGCGAACCAGTGCACACATTGGGAGGAAGGGGAGATATAGGACCAATCATCCTGATTGGTCCCATGTGGCTCAGTTGGTAGAGCATGGCCTTGCAACGCCAGGGTTATGGGTTCGATTCCCACGGGGGACCAATATGAGAAAGAAAAAAAAGTGAAAATGTATGCACTCACTACTGTAAGTCTCTCTGGATAAGAGTGTCTGCTAAATGATTAAAATGTTGATGTAATTGGGATATAACCAGAGAGAGTGTGGTGTGTCATGTAAGGGATAATCAACGAGGTTCTATGGAAAATAATGAACAGTGTGGAAGGTGTGTTCCACGACACGATAGCAGTGGAACTGACCTTCCACGGAGTTGCATGATTTTCCGGAGAACGCATAGAGCCCGGAGTTGGTTATACCGTGGCTATAATTTAACACATTTGCAGCTAGAAATTGCTAGCAAGTTCACCAGATAGCTATAATAGTTGCTGTGGTAACCAAACAAACAGACTTGCTAGTTTACTAACCAAACCATCAGTCCTAACTTGCTATTATGGAAATCAAATTCAACAATACCAATACTGTTTTCAATTGGACTTTTGCTTCCAAAAGCAGCTCAAACAAAACATGTAAAAATGAACTATAGCCATTGAATTCTACCTTGCAAATATACAGTGCATTATAGGGAAATAATGCACTCTCTAGAATGTCCTTCAAGCCAATCAGAAAGGAGTATTCAACAATGCCATAGTATAAACAGATTTATAAACCGGGTGGTTCGAGCCCTGAATGCTGATTGGCTGAAAGCCGTGGTATATCAGACCTTATACCACGGGTATGACAAAACATTTATTTTTACTCTTCTTATTACGTTGGTAACCAGTTTATAATAGCAATAAGGCACCTCTGGGGTTTGTAGTAAATGGCCAATATACCACAGCTGAAGGCTGTATCCAGGCACTCCACGTTGCGTCGTGCTTAAGAACATATACCACACCCCCTCTGGCATTATTGCTTAAATAGATCCAGAGCCATAGAATGAATAAAGACTGTTGTCGACGCCAGATCTGACTGCCGAATCTGACTGACTGTCGCGCCGATCTGCGTCACAAATAAACGTTTTTGTTGCTGATTCGCTGCTTCTCTCCGACAACTCCGCCCCATAGTTACTGTTGCTACGACTAAGAGCCAATTTATGCTTGATCTGAAAATGTGGTCGGAGACTCCGTATGGAGGGTGTGACGCAATTGTGGCGCCTCCGGAGGCACGCAGAGGCCAAACTGAGCTCTGTACCGCATCGCCGTGCGCCTCCCAAATGTTGTAAGAATTCAGTGGGCTCCATATAGCGCCGCATTGACATGATTGGTTGATGGTAGGTGGGGGCGGGGGCGGGAGGTCCTGTATAAACACAAACTCACTTTCTTCACAACAGCTCTGCTCAACAGCTCTGCGTTGCTCCGCAAAGCGCAAGAAGTAAGAATGCCCTGACTTCTGCAGAGGCCGTATCACCGTAAATGCAGATATCGGATTGACCATGTAGTGCCTTTAACAGGCACCTGCAAGCAGTGTTGCCAACTTAGCGACTTTGTCGCTATATTTAGCGAGTTTTCAGACCCCTCTAGCGACACATTTTCAAAAAAAGCGACTAGCGACAAATCTAGCGACTTTTTTCTGGTGTTATTGGAGACTGACGTGAAAGCACGTATCGTTCTTACTCTTCTCAACGAGCAGCAGGTGCTGGCAGAAAAGACCTAAATTTATGTGAACCAATAGAAACCTAGTCGGAAATCATAATATATTGATACTCGGCAACAAAAGAACTACAGCAATACCAGCATGTAGTTCTCATTTGCTTACTACAACACTAGTGGTTGTCCCACATCTTAATGTGCTTCAACAACACCCACTTTTCTCAACTATTGGCAATGATTTATCTGACATTCTATTACCTCTGGCAGTAACCCCCCCAAGGATTAAGGGGACTTCCTCCAAGTCTGGTAGAGCCTGGCAGTGAGGGGCTTTCTGAACTAGGTCCTTAGTAACCCCCCAAGGATTAGGGGGACTTCCTCCAAGTCTGGTAGAGCCTGGCAGTGAGGGGCTTTCTGAACTAGGTCCTTAGTAACCCCCCCAGGATTAGGGGGACTTCCTCCAAGTCTGGTAGAGCCTGGCAGTGAGGGGCTTTCTGAACTAGGTCCTTAGTAACCCCCCCAGGATTAGGGGGACTTCCTCCAAGTCTGGTAGAGCCTGGCAGTGAGGGGCTTTCTGAACTAGGTCCTTAGTAACCCCCCCAGGATTAGGGGGACTTCCTCCAAGTCTGGTAGAGCCTGGCAGTGAGGGCCTTTCTGAACTAGGTCCTTAGTAACCCCCCCAGGATTAGGGGGACTTCCTCCAAGTCTGGTAGAGCCTGGCAGTGAGGGCCTTTCTGAACTAGGTCCTTAAGATACTGGTACACTCAAAGTAGGTGTCCACGACTAGATTATTTAGTTTGTGGTACACTTTCAACCACTTTGAGGATGTCTTGCCACTGAGTATAGCCTGTGGTATGGACATAAGAAAAGCTTTACTCTGTATTCATACTGCTTTTGCAATTTTTCAATGTACTCAAACTGCAAAAAAGTATTACTCTCTCACCTGCAGGTGCATCTCTACCCCTCTTTATTCAACAATACATTTAACCAGTTTGTCGTTGGCCTGGTCACATTCCACATGTGGTCAGGTCATGTGGTCAGATAATCATCAGTTTCCCCTTTTTCATCCTATTTATTAAATATCGTTTATTGGTGGAATTATCGACCGATAGGGATATGTTGGCCGATAATATTGGTGAAGCAAAATATTGGTTAGTGTCTAGTTATCGTATATCGGCCCAACACTTTCAGAATAATCATGAACAGAACCATGTACATAATTAATAAAAAAGGCAATCCGTTGGTGTGGGAAGTAGTTAATGCAGTTATATCACATCTTATCTCCATTTCTTCCCCTACCTAGCAGCATATGGAGGCTCCAAGAAAACCTGTTCATCAAGACGCTACGCCATGAACTGGAGCCATGTGGGGGTCAAAGTGTCAACCATCCTGCCATCTTCATACAAGACAGGTGAGAAGGGGGAGGATTTGGATGTAACACACAGAGGACATTAATTCAGATTGGAGGAATGGTTTTGGAGTGACAGACTGTACATGAATGGGGGTTAGGGAAATGTTTTGGTCGTAACAAGCAGAAGACACGGTTGCTCTTTGACCATCATATGCTCATACGTTCTTACTGGTTTCAATATAGCACTCCAGAGTTGAGAGTGAATATTGATATTCCTTGAGGAAAATGATATTGGACAGTCAGCATAAAGATATAGCAGGTTATGTGGTCCTATAGATGTAGATTCCTCACATTGGGTAAGTAGAGAATACCAGTAGAAGGGGTCTGTACTGTACTAAGGGTAAACATTAAGATATCAAATAGCAGGTTTAAATCTTAACAGCCCAAACATGTGACCCACTGACTGACTGACAGGCAGGCAGACAAGCCAGCAGAGACAAACACACTCACATTTGGCTTGACCTTATTTGACAGCCCTCTACTCACAGTTACCACCCTCTCTCTCCCTTTTCCTCCCATACATCTACCCCTGTCTCCACCCTAGAATTCCATGTATCAAGAATAACAGTGTCATCTTAGTATTTGATATATGTTATCTCAGGGCAGCTGCTCCTACAGTCATCTGTATATAGTGGACCTAGGACAGGAGAGATGACTGAGCCCTGTGGTGATCCAGTTGAGATGGATTTATTTGTGCTGCACTCACTGTTGAATCTCACCCATTACAGTCGCATTGACAAAACATATAAGATCCACAGAATAGGTTTGGACTGGGTTCATATGCGCTTAAAACGCTTAAAAAGCTGAGGGATGGGGCTGGAGAAATGTAGCCACTCTCAAATTCATAGACAGAGCTATGGATGCAAAGACTGACTACCCATGATATAAATATTATAGTTTTAACCATGTTTTGAGACTATATAGTGTTTATTTACATTTACTTTGTTTACAAACACAAGCTTCTATGTTGGGTTCTGATGGGGTATGACAGTTGAACTAAACTCATGGGGCATTTATTTATAACTTTTATTCTTCAAGTATCAATGGGTACATACCATTAGATGGTTCTCCAATTGAACGTGTTCCCGCATATAAATACTTAGGCATTTGGATTGATATGGATTTGACGTTTAAAAAACATATAGATGAGCTGTTTAAGAAGCTACGGTTTAAAGTTGGCTTTTTCTACAGAAACAGATGGTGCCTTTCTCTAAGCAGTAGGAAGCAGATTATTCAGTCAACCTTATCTGTTCTTGATTATGGTGATATTATTTATCAAAGTGCAGCTGCTACTACTCTTAAAACTTTGGATGCCATCTACCATTATTATTTTTCTTTTCTTTTTTTAATTTAACCTTTATTTTAACTAGGCAAGTCAGTTAAGAACAAATTCTTATTTACAATGACGGCCTACACCGGTCAAACCCGGACGACGCTGGGCCAATTGTGCGCCGCCCTATGGGACTCCCAATCACGGCCGGTTGTGATACAGCCTGGAATCTAACCAGGGGGTCTGTAGTGACGCCTCAAGCACTGAGATGCAGTGCCTTAGACCGCTGCACCACTCGGGAGCCCATAGTGCCCTTCGTTTTGTTACAGGTGACAGTTTTCATACTCATCACTGCATCCTGTATCAAAAGGTTGGCTGGACTTCGCTAAAGACCTGTAGATCTCTACATTACTCCCTTTTTGTTTCCAAGACCCTACTTCATAAACTTCCGTCTTATCTAACTTTGTTGTTCAAGTATAGACACCTGAATTGCCTAACCCGTTCACAGGATTGGTTAACTGTCGAGGTTCCGAGGGTCTCCACTGAGCTAGCTAAATCTGCTTTTAGTTTTAATGCACTGTGTTGCTGGAACAAAATTCAAAATACATTTCATCTTGATGTTCTGGTGCCATTCGGGCAATTTAAAGTATTGATTAGGAACTTATTTGTGGAGGAATGTAACTGTTTTTCTGGGTGATTTTATGTGTTGCGTCCCATGACTGTGTTTTTGTATTTTAATATATATATATATATATATATATATATATATATATATATATATATATTATATTCAAAAGTTTGGACACACCAAACAAGTGTTAAACAATTCCAAATATATTTGAGATTCTTCAAATAGATTCTTCAAAAATGCCAAGAGTGTGCAAAGCTGTCATCAAGGCAAAGGGTGGCTATTTGAAGTATCTCAAATATAAAATATATTTTGATTTGTTTAACACTTTTTTGGTTACTACATGATTCCATATGTGTTATTTCATAGTTTTGATGTCTTCACTACTATTCTACAATGTAAAAAATTGTAAAAAATAAAGAAAAACCCTTGAATGAGTAGGAGTGTCCAAACTTTTGACTGGTGTGTGTGTATATATATATATATATATATATATATATATATATATATATATATATATAGTTTGGGTATAATGTGTATATTTATGTTGTGTATATACAGGGCGCATTTGTAAAAGAGACTTAGGTCTCGTTATGTCTTCCCTGTTAAATTAAAGATTAAATACAAAATGATAAGTCAAAAAATGGATGTTGCAACCGCTTATTGCGCCTTTAATGCAACAATACTTCCTCTATTACCAAATCAATTTCCTCTTGTGCTCTAATGATTACAGCAGCTCATCCTTCTCAATAGTAAAGTCCAGACTATCAAACCTAGAATATAAATAGTTCAGACTCTCTGCCAATACAATGCAATGCTCTTTTCATTGAACATTGGGCTCAAGTGGTTGGTTGGTAGTTCAGAGGGCTTTTTCCCCCTACAAGCTAGGATCCTCTTCATTCCCACATTGGCTACTTTGGGTCCACTATTTTACAGTTCTGCTCAGTTCTGACACTCTCCCTACATATTAGTCACTATATTTGCCACTACTTTATCGTTCATGTACTTTTTATATTATGTGTATCCTAATATGCGCTTTTATCTCCCTTCCAGAAACCACGCTTTTATCTCCCTTCAAGAAACCACAAACCTTCCTACCTACCACAAACATCCTACAGGACTTGAAACTCCAACTACTAAGCCTCCATTCCAACCCCTCCATTCCAACCCCTCCATTCCAACCCCTCCATTCCAACGCCTCCATTCCAACCCCTCATGTGCCTCTGTGTTTCAGTTTTATCTGTGTAATAAATATCCAATACTGGAACCCTTTCCTTTTGACTTCATTGCATTCTCAATGATGCAACATGGTGGCAGTACTACCCTGAACCAATGAAATACAACTAACTGTACTGAAGTTGTTGCTATACTGCTAAAACTGTTCATTCATAATTACCATTGTTACTTTGTTTGCAGCCACTAGTCATAGGTGAATAATGTATTCTATAAAAAATAATTACAATACAGTAATGCAGTTGCTCTTCAGTAAAGTTCTGGCAATCTTATGTTGGAAACCATATTCAATTAAACTTAGTTGCACATTACTTATGTAAATTATAACCTGTTTCTTGAACACCAGTGATTTTTTAAAGGAAAATAATGACTGTGTAAGCTTTTCACAGGTCCCCGGGTTACAATATCACCTGTGATGGTTAAATGTTCAGAGTAATTGGTATGGCATGGGTATGACAAATCAATGAACTAATGATATCAACATTGTTATTTACTTTATACCTCACACAGCCTTTTCCTGTTGATGGGGGAAAGGAAAAACCCAATAAGCATTGAATGTAGGATTTTCACCCTTGTGAAGTAAGGTGTATCTTTAAAAGTATTGAGTCAATCAAATATGGTATACACAGTGTACCAGTACTGGAGAGGCAGAGCAAGCAGGTTGGCTTCATCCATCTGTGGAGATCACTGGGTGGAGATACTCTGATTGACCCAAACTGTGTGGGGGAGATGATGACCAGTTGTAAGCAAGCAGACTTTAGTGGACTAGCTATATACTCAGCTCCTCATAAAATTTGACAAAGACACATCACTTGTTGATCAAGCTAAATGATACAGTAAACGGGTTGCTAGCCAGTTAGCAGAAAAAAGCTGTTGCGTCTCACCATAGCCAGCTATCTAAGATAGCTAGCTAGCTACATATTAGCCATCATATTGCTAGCTTTAGTTTCAGCACCTTGCTTGCCGGATCTGTCTCCCCTTTTCCCGGGAACTGCTTGCACTCGCCTGTTAGTCGTAGCAACAGTAACTATGCGGCGGAGTTGAGGGAGAGAAGCAGCGAATCAGCATCCAAAACTTTCATTCAGATTCCGTAGACCGTCAGATCTGGCATCGACACCGTCCTTATTCAAGTCAATGAATGCTGTTGCGAGTCTACCCATTGAAGCAAATCAGGAAGTGAAACCCATCAATCTGTGCTGTGATTTGTTGAATCACCTCTACTGACGTTACAAAAAAAATACATTCCATCGCATGAGCCAACTCAGTTAACATCTTTTGAACGAATATTCTACATTTACCATGGAAATTATTGCGTCACAATACTAGGCAGCATTTGCGAGTGTACCCATGAGTTTACTAGTCAAATAGTCAGGGTTAGTGGTTCCAAATTCGTTCTATTTCTATGTCCAGAGCTGCCATTTCAGTCAACCAGATGTCACAGCAACACATCCACATAATCCATATTCATCATTATGCAGATTCACCCTCACTGTCACCTCGGGCTGAGCAATGGTCGATCGCTTGTATCATCATGATCCTCAGAATTGCCATGATTAAAGACAACAGATTTGGAGTTTAAGGAAAAGTCCTCATAGAAACATGTACTTGCACCACAAACAGTCAACAGTCATACAGTTATTTCGACTTTCAGATTATTTCAGGTTATTTGACAGTGACATGGATGCAAAGAAATCATGTGCTGTAAAACATGAGTGATCCAACTCTGTAACCTAGTGGTAGAACACAATAGTACAACAGTGACGCACATTCTATTCCTGACTTCTCTATAACCCATGGGGCCGCAGTCCTGCTAGCTTTTCATTTTCACCCAGGTTAAAATTACTCCCTGAACCAGGCAGATTAAAAAGGCCTTAATGAAAACCAGCAGGCGATGTGGCCTGGAATTCAATACAATTCATACTTTATTGTTCCCTCTTGCGTCATGACACAAGGAGGACAATTTTACCCTTTTTATTTCATAAAGTTACCACAGCATGATGAGTCATTCATTTGCAAGTATTTATTCAATTAACATCGGAAATAATTACAATGTTGCACGTTATATATTTCCACCAAATGCAATTCAAAAAGTACTTCTTTTTTTTCATCATCAAACAACACAGACATACATTTAATCTTGTATCTAGAAATCATAGTCCAGTATTTCATTCAATACTACATACCATATTATCACTTGCACACGTAAACATTCGTTTTTGATAGTAGCGGTAGTAACATTGAGTCAGTAGTTGTAGATAGAATAGGCCAGGTTAGTCCCATGATCAGTTCGTATAGGATTCCTAACATCAGATGCTAAAATAAGTGTATAACGAATGATCAGTTGAATAATTAACTTCATTGAAGTTGCAGGAAAGAAAAAGATGAGGCTTGATGTTTGGACGCATGCAGATCTCTTGCTGGTCTGTTGCTAGTCTGGAGTTTTCGGGAAACAGCAGCTTACTAGTGAATAATATGACATCAAAACTAGTGGATAATATGACATAAAACGGAAGTAAACAAAATACGTCATCATAGATAGAATCACAGAGGAAATATTTTAGACCATCAAAATCAAATGTCAACACTTTATACAGGCCTGTAATGGTAATACATTAAATTAATTCTCACGGTTCTCTTAAACTAGGAATTTTATGCACATTTTCATGGAAAGTTGCCTTGAGAAACAAAATGGCAAGGCTGAAACTAAATGAAACATTGGTTGCACCACAAACAACGGTCTATTCCCTATAGCGCAGTAGGTCTGAGCAGAGTCAAGCAGTGTAGTATAAAGGGAATGGAGGATCATTTGAGACGCAGCCCCGGTAGAACAGCGTAATGTGTCGTGACCACTTTATCAACAGCCCTGCAATGTACTCTAAATACTGTATGCTTCGTATATAATGCAGCATGTATCAGTAGCACCCTCCTGTGGCAAAACCTATCAACTACAGTGAAAAAGACCATGTAAAAACCTACCAATCGCCAGTACACCACCTACAATGGTAGAAAGGCAATCGGCTACGGTAATCAGGTTTAACATGAAGTGTCACCCTATTCCCTACAAAGTGCACTACTTTTCTCACCCTAATCCCTACATAGTGCACTACTTTTCTCACCCTATTCCCTACATAGTGCACTACTTTTGTCACTCTATTCCCTATATAGTGTACTACTTTTCTCACCCTATTCCCTACATAGTGCACTACTTTTCTCACCCTATTCCCTACATAGTGCACTACTTTTCTCACCCTATTCCCTACAAAGTGCACTACTTTTCTCACCCTATTCCCTACATAGTGCACTACTTTTCTCACCCTATTCCCTACATAGTGCACTACTTTTCTCACCCTATTCCCTACAAAGTGCACTACTTTTCTCACCCTATTCCCTACAAAGTGCACTACTTTTCTCACCCTATTCCCTAAAAAGTGCACTACTTTTCTCACCCTATTCCCTACATAGTGCACTACTTTTCTCACCCTATTCCCTACAAAGTGCACTACTTTTCTCACCCTTTTCCCTACATAGTGCACTACTTTTCTCACCCTATTCCCTACATAGTGCACTACTTTTCTCACCCTATCCCCTACATAGTGCACTACTTTTCTCACCCTATCCCCTACATAGTGCACTACTTTTGACCAGGCCCAGTCCTTAACACCAGCAGCCCTTCTGTGAGGCGGCGGCCCTGTTTGTGATGCCCTCCTCCTCCTCCAGGGCGGCGAGGTTGAGCTCGTCTGTGACCGACGCCCTTAGGAGGTCCAGGTCCTTCTTATTGGCCGCCAAGACCTGCTCAGCCAATCGTGTGAAGGACTAGGGGTGGAGGGGTGGTGAAATGGGCACAAGGATAACAGAGAGGGAAAACTGTTAGTGCAAATCTGTTTTATGAATATATCACTGTATTTATATCCCTGTACAGTGGGGGAAAAAAGTATTTAGTCAGCCACCAATTGTGCAAGTTCTCCCACTTAAAAAGATGAGAGAGGCCTGTAATTTTCATCATAGGTACACGTCAACTATGACAGACAAAATGAGAAAAAAAAATTCAGAAAATCACATTGTAGGATTTTTAATGAATTTATTTGCAAATTATGGTGGAAAATAAGTATTTGGTCACCTACAAACAAGCAAGATTTCTGGCACTCACAGACCTGTAACGTCTTCTTTAAGAGGCTCCTCTGTCCTCCACTCGTTACCTGTATTAATGGCACCTGTTCGAACTTGTTATCAGTATTTTCTCAATTTGTCTGTCATAGTTGACGTGTACCTATGATGAAAATTACAGGCCTCTCTCATTTTTTTAAGTGGGAGAACTTGCACAATTGGTGGCTGGTACATCCTTGGGAGCAATTTCCAAACGCCTGAAGGTACCACGTTAATCTGTACAAACAATAGTACGCAAGTATAAACACCATGGGACCACGCAGCCATCATACCGCTCAGGAAGGAGACGCGCTCTGTCTCCTAGAGATGAATGTACTTTGGTGCAAAAAGTGCAAATCAATCCCAGAACAACAGCAAAGGACCTTGTGAAGATGCTGGAGGAAACAGGTACAAAATTATCTATATCCAGAGTCCTATATCGACATAACCTGAAAGGCCGCTCAGCAAGGAAGAAGCCACTGCTCCAAAACCGCCATAAAAAAGCCAGACTACGGTTTGCAACTGCACATGGGGATAAAGATCGTACTTTTTGGAGCAATGTCCTCTGGTCTGATGAAACAAAAATAGAACTGTTTGGCCATAATGACCATTGTTAAGTTTGGAGAAAAAAAGGGGGTTGCTTGCAAGCCGAAGAACACCATCCCAACCGTGAAGCACGGGGGTGGCAGCATCATGCTGTGGGGGTGCTTTGCTGCAGGAGGGACTGGTGCACTTCACAAAATACATGGCATCACGAGGAAGGAAAATTATGTGGATATATTGAAGCAACATCTCAAGACATCAGTCAGGAAGTTAAAGCTGGGTCGCAAATGGGTCTTCCAAATGGACAATGACTCCAAGCATACTTCCAAAGTTGTGGCAAAATGGCTTAAGGTCAACAAAGTCAAGATATTGGAGTGGCCATCACAAAGCCCTGACCTCAATCCTATAGAAGATTTGTGGGCAGAACTGAAAAAGCGTGTGCGAGCAAGGAGGCCTACAAACCTGACTCAGTTACACCAGCTCTGTCAGGAGGAATGGGCCAAAATTCACCCAACTTATTGTGGGAAGCTTGTGGAAGGCTACCCGAAATGTTTGACCCAAGTGAAACAATTTAAAGGCAATGCTACCAAATACTAATTGAGTGTATGTAAACTTCTGACCCACTGGGAATGTGATGAAAGAAATAAAAGCTGAAATAAATAATTCTCTCTACTATTATTCTGACATTTCAAATTCTTAAAATAAAGTGGTGATCCTAACTGACCTAAGACAGGGAATTGTTACTACGATTAAATGTCAGGAATTGTGAAAATCTGAGTTTAAATGTGTTTGGCTAAGGTGTACGTGAACTTCGGACTTCAACTGTATATACAGTACCAATCAAAAGTTTGGACACACCTACTCATTCAGGGTTTTTCTTTATTTTTACTATTTTTTACATTGTAGAATAATAGTGAATACATCAAAACTATGAAATAACACATGTGGAATCATGTAGTAACCAAAAAAGTGTTAAACAAATCAAAATATATTTTATATTTGAGATACTTCAAATAGCCACCCTTTGCCTTGATGACAGCTTTCCACACTCTTGGTATTCTCTCAACCAGCTTCATGAGGTAGTCACCTGGAATGCATTTCAATTAACAGGTGTGCCTTGTTAAAAGTTCATTTGTGGAATTTGTGGAAGTTAGAAACTGTTGGAGATGAGCATTCCATAGTAAGGGGACATAGAAACTGCTGAAACATTCTATACTGTGGAAAGTCACAGGCCGCCTAAAGGTGGGCGGAGAAAAGTCCTTTGTGTGGACGCATATAAAAAGTCTGTGTGTGTATTTAGCGCTACAGCACTCTCGTGAATAAAAAAGCTGATCTCTTGCAGACTGGTTTAATAATGAATTAAACAAATACTCCAGAGCCTTACACTCTCTGGGAATTATTCAGAGCTTTTGTATTAGAGATAGAAATTCTCGTGACTGTAGTCACCTGGAATGCATTTCAATTAACAGGTGTGCCTTGTTAAAAGTTCATTTGTGGAATTTCTTTCCTTCTTAATGTGTTTGAGCCAATCAATTGTGTTGTGACAAGGTAGGGGTGGTATACAGACGATAGCCCTATTTGGTAAAAGACCAAGTCCATATAATGGCAAGAACAGCTCAAATAACCGAAGCGAAATGACAGTCCATCATTACTTTAAGACATGAAGGTCAGTCAATATGGAACATTTCAAGAACTTTGAAAGTTTCTTCAATTGCCGTTGCAAAAACCATCAAGTGCTATGATGAAACTGGCTCTCATGAGGACCGCCACAGGAAAGGAAGACCCAGAGTTACCTCTGCTGCAGAGGACAAGTTCATTAGAGTTACCAGTCTTAGAAATTGCAGCCCAAATAAATGCTTCACAGAGTTCAAGTAACAGACACATCTCAACATCAACTGTTCAGAGGAGACTGCGTGAATCAGGCCTTCATGGTCGAATTGCTGCAAAGAAACCACTACTAAAGGACAACAATATGAAGAAGAGACTTGCTTGGGCCAAGAAACACAAACAATGTACATCAGACCGGTGGAAATCTGTCCTTTGGTCTGATGAGTCCAAATTTGAGATTTGTGGTTCCAACCGCCGTGTCTTTGTGAGACGCAGAGTAGGTGAACGGATGATCTCTGCATGTGTGGTTCCCACCGTGAAGCATGGAGGAGGAGGTGTGATGGTGTGGGGGTGCTTTGCTGGTGACACTGTCTGTGAATTATTTAGAATTCAAGGCACACTTAACCAGCATGGCTACCACAGCATTCTGCAGCGATACGCCATCCCATCTGGTTTGCGCTTAGTGGGACTATAATTTGTTTTTCAACAGGACAATGACCCAAAACACACCTACAGGCTGTGTAAGGGCTATTTGCCCAAGGAGAGTGATGGAGTGCTGCATCAGATGACCTGGCCTCCACAATCACCTGACCTCAACCCAATTGAGATGGTTTGGGATTAGTTGGACCGCAGAGTGAAGGAAAAGCAGCCAACACGTGCTCAGCATGTGTGGGAACTCCTTTAAGACTGTTGGAAAAGCATTCCTCATGAAGCTGGTTGAGAGAATGCCAAGAGTGTGCAAAGCTGTCATCAAGGCAAAGGGTGGCTACTTTGAAGAATTTCAAATATAAAATACATTTTTAATTTGTTTAACACTTTTTTGGTTACTACATGATTCCATATGTGTTATTTCATAGTTTTGATGTCTTCACTATTATTCTACAATATAGAAAATAGTAAAAAATAAAGAAAAACCCTTGAATGAGTAGGTGTTCTAAAACTTTTGACTGGTACTGTATATCACTGTATGTATCACTTGGACTCTGGCCAATACAGACTAAGACAAAGTGCCTGAGGATGAAATGTTGTTCCATTATACCGTCATCAATAGTTTGCATACCGGTAGTCTGGCTGTGGTGATTGGCTTTGGCCTGTGACATACAGGTGGCCATACACAGTGTTTGTACAGGAGCTGTCAGCCAATTACCTCTGTGATGTTATAGTTGGTGAAGGCACTTGTCTCAAAGAAGTCCATCCCATAGTCCTTGGCCAGCTTGTTTCCCTGTTCTGTAGCTACCAGCCTCTTCTCCTCCCCGTCTGACTTGTTCCCTATGAGGATCTTCTGGATGTTATTAGGAGCATACTGAGAGAGAGGGAGGGATGGGGAGAGAGGGAGACGGGGAGAGAGGGGGAGGGATAGAGCAGGGGAGGGAGGGAGTGAGGGACAGAGAGAGAAGAGAGAGAGAGACAGAGTGAGTCACTCAGTCTGATTTGACAAAAGCACCTGTGCCGCTATAAACATTTTGCCCTGACCCCCTTGATCTCACCTCGTCCACATCGCTGGCCCACTTCATGATGTGCTGGAAGGATCGCTCACTCGTGATGTCGTAAACCAGGAAGATACCCTGAAGAGAGGAGAGGAGAGGAGAGGAGAGGAGAGGAGAGGAGAGGAGAGGAGAGGAGAGGAGAGGAGAGGAGAGGAGAGGAAACATGTCATCTGATTCTGTTATGGTTGTCACAGCAACACCACATAGTCTAGTATCCATGGGTGATAAGGGTGGTTAGGAGGAAACTGTTACTATGACACTAACTAGCACCAGGAAAATGTTACTATGACACTAACTAGCACCAGGAAACTGTTACTATGACATTAACTAGCACCAGGAAACTGTTACTATGACATTAACTAGCACCAGGAAACTGTTACTATGACATTAACTAGCACCAGGAAACTGTTACTATGACATTAACTAGCACCAGCAAACTGTTACTATGACATTAACTAGCACCAGGAAACTGTTACTATGACATTAACTAGCACCAGGAAACTGTTACTATGACATTAACTAGCACCAGGAAACTGTTACTATGACATTAACTAGCACCAGGAAACTGTTACTATGACACTAACTAGCACCAGGAAACTGTTACTATGACATTAACTAGCACCAGGAAACTGTTACTATGACACTAACTAGCACCAGGAAACTGTTACTATGACATTAACTAGCACCAGGAAACTGTTACTATGACATTAACTAGCACCAGGAAACTGTTACTATGACACTAACTAGCACCAGGAAACTGTTACTATGACATTAACTAGCACCAGGAAACTGTTACTATGACACTAACTAGCACCAGGAAACTGTTACTATGACATTAACTAGCACTAGGAAACTGTTACTATGACATTAACTAGCACCAGGAAACTGTTACTATGACACTAACTAGCACCAGGAAACTGTTACTATGACATTAACTAGCACCAGGAAACTGTGCTAAACGAAACCCACCATACCTAGGGTTATAACTGCAGCTTTAGCTACTAGTGCACTGCATGTTTAGAAGGGAGGGTAACCTCGTCTCCAGGCTAATGGCCAGATCCAGCTGGTAGATTAGACTAAAGAAAGAGTCGAGTGGAGCTTCAGTAACATTATCTTACCTGATCTGACCTCTTACCTACAATATCCTGAGGAAGAGTAGGTATCTTACCTGATCTGACCTCTTACAGTGAGGGAAAAAAGTATTTGATCCCCTGCTGATTTTGTACGTTTGCCCACTGACAAAGACATGATCAGTCTATAATTTTAATGGTAGGTTTATTTGAACAGTGAGACAGAATAACAACAACAAAAAAATCCAGAAAAACGCATGTCAAAAATGTTATAAATTGATTTGTGGTCCTCTGTAGCTCAGCTGGTAGAGCACGGCGCTTGTAACGCCAAGTTAGTGGGTTCGATCCCCGGGATCACCCATACACAAAAAATATATATGTATGCACGCATGACTGTAAGTCGCTTTGGATAAAAGTGTCTGCTAAATGGCATATTTTTATTATTATTATTAAGTATTTGACCCCTCTGCAAAACATGACTTAGTACTTGGTGGCAAAACCCTTGTTGGCAATCACAGAGGTCAGACGTTTCTTGTAGTTGGCCACCAGGTTTGCACACATCTCAGGAGGAATTTTGTCCCACTCCTCTTTGCAGATCTTCTCCAAGTCATTAAGGTTTCGAGGCTGACGTTTGGCAACTCGAACCTTCAGCTCCCTCCACAGATTTTCTATGGGATTAAGGTCTGGAAACTGGCTAGGCCACTCAAGGGCCTTAATGTGCTTCTTCTTGAGCCACTCCTTTGTTGCCTTGGCCGTGTGTTTTGGGTCATTGTCATGCTGGAATACCCATCCACGACCCATTTTCAATGCCCTGGCTGAGGGAAGGAGGTTCTCACCCAAGATTTGACGGTACATGGCCCTGTCCATCGTCCCTTTGTTGCAGTGAAGTTGTCCTGTCCCCTTAGCAGAAAAACAACCCCCAAAGCATAATGTTTCCACCTCCATGTTTGACGGTGGGGATGGTGTTCTTGGGGTCATAGGCAGCATTCCTCCTCCTCCAAACACGGCGAGTTGAGTTGATGCCAAAGAGCTCCATTTTGGTCTCATCTGACCACAACACTTTCACCCAGTTCTCCTCTGAATCATTCAGATGTTCATTGGCAATCGTCAGACGGCCCTGTATATGTGCTTTCTTGAGCAGGGGGACCTTGCGGGCGCTGCAGGATTTCAGTCCTTCACGGCGTAGTGTGTTACCAATTGTTTTCTTGGTGACTATGGTCCCAGCTGCCTTGAGATCATTGACAAGATCCTCCCGTGTAGTTCTGGGCTGATTCCTCACCGTTCTCATGATCATTGCAACTCCACGAGGTGAGATCTTGCATGGAGCCCCAGGCCGAGGGAGAATTACAGTTATTTTGTGTTTCTTCCATTTGCGAATAATCACACCAACTGTTGTCACCTTCTCACCAAGCTGCTTGGCGATGGTCTTGTAGACCATTCCAGCCTTGTGTAGGTCTACAATCTTGTCCCTGACATCCTTGGAGAGCTCTTTGGTCTTGGCCATAGTGGAGAGTTTGGAATCTGATTGATTGATTGCTTCTGTGGACAGGTGTATTTTATACAGGTAACAAACTGAGATTAGGAGCACTCCCTTTAAGAGTGTGCTCCTAATCTCAGCTCGTTACCTGTATAAAAGACACCTGGGAGCCAGAAATCTTTCTGATTGAGAGGGGGTCAAATACTTATTTCCCTCATTAAAATGAAAATCAATTTATAACATTTTTGACATGCGTTTTTCTGGATTTTTTTGTTGTTATTCTGTCTCTCACTGTTCAAATAAACCTACCATTAAAATTATAGACTGATCATTTCTTTGTCAGTGGGCAAATGTACAAAATCAGTAGGGGATCAAATACTTTTTTCCCTCACTGTACCTACAATATCCTGAGGAAGAGTAGGTATCTTACCTGATCTGACTTCTTACCTACAATATCCTGAGGAAGAGTAGGTATCTTACCTGTGCTCGTCTGTAGTACTGCTTAGTGATGGTCTGATATCTCTCCTGTCCTGCTGTGTCCCTGGAAGAAATCAAATGTCAAACACCCTCTCTTAGAAAATGAGGAAACAGGCAGTGAATAGTGATAATATCAGACAATGTTTCGATCCCACGGTGGATCTTTGTGAGTTCAAAAGGTTTTTTATCTTGAGATACGAGTCATTGCAAAGGGCTTCGTGTACTACAGATGGGGGGGGGATCTCCTTTGTCAGAACTTGTTTAGTGTCCAGTTTGTAAGCAGCAGTAGAGGGTAAGCCTGAACAAGAGTGTCTCCTAAATGACTAAGATGTAAATGTAAAATATGAATGCAGCTGCTCTGGCTTACCATATCTGTATCCGCACTTTGATGCCATCTATCTCTAGCGTCTTCATTTTGAAATCGACTCCTGAGAAGAGGAACAGACAAGTCAATATTGTGACTATGGAAACCTCAGATTAATTCATCCTATTTAATGTGTGGAGATGAGGCGAGGTAAGGTGAGGTGAGGTAAGGGGGGGGGGCAAGGTGAGGTAAGGGGGGGGCAAGGTGAGGTAAGGGGGGGGGCAAGGCGAGGTAATGGGGGGCAAGGTGAGGTAAGTGGGGGGCAAGGTGAGGTAAGGGGGGGGCAAGGTGAGGTAAGGGGGGGGCAAGGTGAGGTACGGCGGGGCAAGGTGAGGTAAGGGGGGGCAAGGTGAGGTACGGCGGGGCAAGGTGAGGTAAGGGGGGGCAAGGTGAGGTATGGCGGGGCAAGGTGAGGTAAGGGGGGGGCAAGGTGAGGTACGGCGGGGCAAGGTGAGGTAAGGGGGGGGCAAGGTGAGGTACGGCGGGGCAAGGTGAGGTAAGGGGGGGCAAGGTGAGGTACGGCGGGGCAAGGTGAGGTAAGGGGGGGCAAGGTGAGGTACGGCGGGGCAAGGTGAGGTAAGGGGGGGGGCAAGGTGAGGTACGGCGGGGCAAGGTGAGGTGAGATTTTCTCTTCTGTTTTCAATCCTAAACTATTAGACTAATATGTTAGGTGAGGTAAGGGGGGGCAAGGTGAGGTACGGCGGGGCAAGGTGAGGTAAGGGGGGGCAAGGTGAGGTACGGCGGGGCAAGGTGAGGTAAGGGGGGGGCAAGGTGAGGTACGGCGGGCCAAGGTGAGGTAAGGGGGGGGCAAGGTGAGGTACGGCGGGGCAAGGTGAGGTGAGATTTTCTCTTCTGTTTTCAATCCTAAACTATTAGACTAATATGTTTTCCCCCGATCTGAAATACAATCTCAGACTAATACGTAGGTAAACATAAATGGCATTTAAACACCACAATAATCCCAGGTAAATCAATAAACAGCTCTAACCAATGAACCCAACAAAAAGCTAAAAGACTCACAAACCATTACTCATTATGTAGGGCTCCACTCCAGTGAAGGGTTAACTGTGGCAAATCAATACTCAGTCCCTCAGATACTCAGACTTAAACACTGAGAGAGATGCCCTGCATGTGTGTTTTTCCTCCTCTAGCGAGCCTGAGCAGGCCCTCCCATGACAATGAGCAGCGTAGATGACAGAAATACTGCTTTTAAACTGCAGTGTGTTCTCTTGATAAGGACCTTGGCACTGAAAGATCTGTCGACCAAGTAGACGCACTCTCAGACCCTCAGACTTAATCAGTGAGATGCCAGTTGTGGGTGATATACCATATACCTCATCTGTTGACGGGGCCCTCCCATGAGAAAGATACTCTGATAGATGTGACATATTGCTTTTGTACTTCAAAGTATTCATTCGAAGTGAGTCTCGTCTCGGCACGCATATCTAAAACACGATAGACGACTAGAGACGATCTCATAGGCCGACTTTTCAAACTGCCGTGTGATCGCATAACACAGTCTCAGCACTCAGACACTCATCTCATCTAAAACACCATAGACACTCTCACACAGGCCTGGGCCAAGCCTGGAGTTCACTCCACTTCAGTGAGAAACGGAGACACCTGTTGAAACATTAAAGCAGCCTGCTGTGTGACTACTACACTCTTAGAAACAAAGGTGCCATCTAGAACCTAAAATGGTTCTTTGGCTGTCCTCATAGGAGAACCCTTTGAGGAACCCTTTTGGGTTCCATGTACGACCCTTTTGGGATCAATGTAGGAACCCTTCCACAGAGGGTTCTACATGGAACCCAAAAGGGTTCTACATGGA